CCAAACCCATTTGCCTGTGACTCCATTTATATCAGCTATTCCACGTCTTTTTCTGCAGTTTATGGCACACCATCATCTGCTTCAGCAAATGATTTGCATATCAGATGGGAGGCTGGAGGAGTCTGAGGGATCCCTCAGGTCAGGTTTTGTGAGAAGCTCTTTTGGAGAGCAGATTCCTGGAGGGCCATCAGACTGAAAAGCAGAGAGGAGGCATCACCTGGAGGGGTGGCAGGTATGGGGAGCTGGCCTGTTTTAAAAAGAAGCTGCTTAAGTGGGAAAAGGGAGATACAAATTGTCTTTCCATGCATTTCCATGCAGGCAGGGGAATAATGGCAGAGGAGCGGCAGGGAAGGGGCTTTGTCATGGTTACAGGCCGGTGGCTGAGAATGTGGGTGGAGCAGAGCTCGTCCAGAGTTAGTGACCTCAGCAAATTGGAGCTCAGCCATGGTCAGTATGATAAATGATCTTATTCTGGGTCAAAGAAACGGTGTCCCACAGGGAGGGACCCGCCAGGCGGCCCGGGAAAGCGCTGTGCTCTTGCAGCACTGACCCCTTAGTGACCAGTGCTGCATAGATCTTATTTATTATGGACCAGAAGGGAATTTTCCATGGTTCATCCTTTATAGGGCTCCCCTATTTCCCTGAAATAAGCTCCCAGTTCTACAACCAAGGCGAGAACACGGGTGTGATTACACCCTCTGGGTGCCCTTCGAGGCGCCGTCTGCTTCGTGCGGGTCTGCGTGTGGGTTTTCAGGCGGGGGGTGTGGAGGTGTCTGGGTGAATCTGCCAGCAGCCCTGGGAGCTGCGTGTCCACATCAACTGGAATTGTGCTTGTGCAAAATCCTTCTGTGTTTCTGCACCTTTATCAGTTTGGGGTGAGATCCTTCTAGAGCAACATGAGTCACCTGGTTTCTCTCTGTGCACAGCGAGTGCCCCCTTTGATGAGTTGTCACTGGTGAAGCTGTCAGGCCCAGGAGGTTTCATGGAGCTGGGGAAGATCTATAGATTCCAGCCCTGGTTTTGGGGGTGCACATGAACCTGGGCTCTTGTTCCAGGCGGTGCTAAAATGGAGTCTTAGATGCGTTTCTCTTGCAGAGGAAGCTCAGCAGATTCTTCCTTGAGGAGCAGTTGGGGTAAGACAGAAGATGAGGCCGTGGAGGATGCGTGAGGGGACGGAGCAGCCCGTGCAGCTCTGTCTGCCACGACCAGGAGTGTTTGTGCAGCTGGGCTGCAAACGAGCCGGCGCTGTTGGGTTTTGTATGCACGCTCGCTGCAGTTCCTGCATCCTGCCTGACAAGCCAATGACTTTGTGTCACTGCAGGCACACACTTGGTTTTCCTGAGCTCTGTGTTTCGCTGGGTGATTTGTTTTATGCATGTGTTGTGGATTTGAGCTCCCATCTGTGCACTTGAACTAAGCAGTTTTCTCAAACGTTTGTCGGGTTTTCTTTTTTTTTTTTTTTTTTTAATTAACTTTAGATTATTTTTCCTGAGAATTTGGAGAGGTTTGATGTCCTCTTAGCACAGGCAACAGAAGCTGTCTGTGTATACAAAATGAGACAGGGATTTCCTACCATGTGTTTCAGTCCCTCCTTTGCAGTTTGGGAATATTTCAGCTTCCTTGGCTGGTTCACTCTGGCTTCTCTGCTGATGCTGCCAATGGCGAGGACAGTTAACGATAATTAGAGTGGATTGTTTGGTGTGGATGTTTGTTTGCTGTGAACGAAATGGAGTAGGCTACCAAAAGGATTTCATTGAGCCTGTGCAGCAATGATAAAAATGTATCATTGCTGGGATGAGCTGCACTTGAGCTGGTGACGTGGGAGTGAAATGCTCTCGCCTGAACCTCACTCCTGGGCCAAAACACGCGGTTGCTCTTGCATCCAAATGGCAGCACACGTGGTACAACCATGATCCTGCAAAAATACCCCTGTCCTGGGATGGGGGCCAGCTTGGGAACCAACAGAGGTGCAGGGTTGCTGTGTCCTAGGGGCAGTTTAACTTCTCAGTGGATATTGGGCCTGACCAGGATGAGATTTTTTTCCCTCTCTTTCTATGTCATTTGCAGAGGACCTGCTGTTTGCCTGGCAAATCCTCAGCCCAGGCAGCTGGAAACCTGTTAGACCCCTAGCATTGTATCAGAAAGAAAATGTCTTAGGGACATTCTATGTGTCAACTGTAAGAGATGGGCAGTTGTGCTGTAATTTACCTCTTGTTATTTCCATCGTGATAACATTCAGAGTCCTGGGCTGTTGATCCAAACTGCTGGTGGAGGCACTGAGCTGCGAGATGGCTTCTCCCCAGACCACTTGCAATGGAAGCAATCTTGTTCCTTTTCAATATCATACTTGTAGGAGATGGTTTTTGGTGTGGCTCTGGTCATTTTTCATCCTTTGTAATTGATTTGTTCTAGTAATATTGGTGTACAGAATGTAGAGACATGAAGGTGGGGGGGGAAAAATTCAATTCTAAGAAAACAGCTGAAATTATTATGTGTTAAGGTTGGCTGTGGAGAAGGGAGTCTTAATTTTCATTGATGTTTGGAGTGGGGAAGCTCCAGGCATGCACAGGGGTATCACAGTTTTTTTCCTACTGTCTAAATTCTTCAGTATGTGTGTGTATGTGACTTCTGGGAAGGACTAAATGAATGTAGGCTCAGGTGGGGCTGAAAATAACATTTATTATGGAAGGAGTAGGGGTGAGGGAGTCTACAACACAGCCTCAAATAAATCAGCCCCCTCACCCCTTCAGTCCAGGCTGCTTCTAGGTGGCTGTCGTTGTATCCAGCTGGTGCAGCGTGTTTCTGTTTAAATGATCTCTCCTGAAAGGTCCCAGAGGAAGGGGCTGCTTATTCCATGCAAGGAGAATGGTATATGGCACAGCTCATTGTTGTGTGCCCTGCTGCAAGTGCATAAATATGAAACAGCTCGCGGACGCTGCTGCAGTGGGGCTGGTGTCCCCTTTGTCCCCCCCCCTTCCTTCTCCTGAAGGCTCCTCTCCATCTTTCTTCCTCTCTGGCTTTCATTTCTTGGTGATGGAGAGCAGGAGCCGCTTGGGTGTGAGATCCTGAGGGCTTTACATTGCAGCAGCATTTTTCAGGGGAAGGTGAATATAGTCAGCTCTTGTTCTGGTGGCTGGTGGACTGGCGTGGTGTGAATGTGTGTGTGTGTGTGTGTGTGTGTATATATATAAATATATATGTACCTTCTGAGGGACACTCGCCATCCCCACTGCGTGTTGCTGGGAAAGTGGCAGAAAATGGTCTGTTTTGTGCTCTTAACTACAGATCATTACAAGGGAGTCGTGGGTCAGCCCCAGGCAGGTGATGCAGCTCACGGGGCAGTTTTAAGACACAAAGCAGCTCTTTTTGCCCTGATCAGAGCGATCCAGTGCTCCGTGGCAGCAGTACTGGCCGTGCTCTGGGCAGCCCCGCAGTGGGACCGGTGTGCTGGGGTGAGGTTGTCATCCAGAGGCACCAATGCCCTGGGAAACCAGGGGGGGAATAGAAGAGGGAATCTCAGAGCATCCCCCTCCCCCTTTCCCTAGGAAAAGAGGCCCCCATCTGCTGCAGATGGACATGTCCCCGTCACCGAGTTGATGTGCACCTGCCTACACCAGGGCTCTCCATCCTTGGTGTGACAGAAGTGATGGGGGTGATGTTGTTTGGAAGAATCCCAGCTCCTCTCTGTGTAGCATCCACGGTCCCATACAGTCGTGGAGTGAGGCAGGGACTGAGTTGAGTCACTACAAGTGCTTTGATTTTTGCTGGTTGTGAAGCAAACACGTGAGGAATCATCTGTAGAGTTTGATTTTAGCTCAGAGAAGTGTGTGCAGAAAGGTTCCCCTTGACTACAGTGAGGTTACAACACGTGAGGGAGAGGTGGAAACCCATCCTGCCATCCCCACTCGCCCTGTGAGCAGAGTTCCAGCCCTCACTGGTGGATTTGTGCCTTCAAAAAGCTTCCTCACGCCTTGAAAACAAACAAAACTCTTTTGGGGCTTTCAAAGGGCTGTTTAAAGGAGCCCCGGGAGAATAACTGATGGTGGGTTCAGAATGATGAAGTGGTTTGTGGGATGGTGAAATATAGAAGCAAATGCAGGAGAGCTCCACATTGCAATTTGTCAGCTTCTCTAAACCCTGTAACGGATTATTCCCCCCCCCCTCTGTCGCTTCTCACCTCTCCAATAGGAAATTAACTGATGCTATCACTAAAGAAATTGTTTTTGCCTCACAAAGTAAAATTGATACTATAAAAACCCGCCAGCAGTGTCTCCTCCTCCTTTTACATGAAGACAAATCCTTCCTGTCACCTACTGAAATGGAAAGATAAAGGCTAAGCTTTAATAAAGAAGCTATAAGCACAAAGAGTCGAGGGAGGGAGCAGGCACGGCCTGGGGAACCCACCACGGCAGCAGGTGCCGTGCCAGGGGATACTGCAGGTGTCCAAAGTACAGCTGCTGTGGCTGGTGCTGTGCTCAGTGCATGGCTATGTACAGGTTTGTACCCCAGAACTCGTGTCTCCAAGAGATGGTGCTGGTTTTGGTACCCAGAGTGTCTGCTTTACTCCTTTCAGGTTCTTAGACTCGCTTGTTTGGACTTTTAAAATCTAATTAAGCACACAGAGAGTTAAACGGGGATTTGTCAGGTGATAACAGAGCGCACAGGACGTGGGATGGGTTGGAGGAATCTGGACACTGACAGTCTCCTGCTGGATTGGCACTTCAGCATGAACTGCATTCATTCTTTGTGGGAAACCTTTTCTGCCAGACCGTGGGGTTTGGGGCAGAGCTCTGAGCTCCCTTGAGACAGAGCTGCCTGTTCAGTTCAGGGCTGGTAAGGGCCAATCCTGTGAGGTGGTTCCTTTGACTGGAGGTTTGCAGCTTTCCCCATCCATCCTGCACGTTCCTCTCCTATTCTTTTGTGGATAAACAATCACTTTGTTCTAGCATCAGCTAGGAGCTGTCAGCCAGTTTGTAAACTGCTGTCCTTTCTCCTTTCAGGGGATATCAGAAACCTGCTAAAGTGGATCAAACAGAATCTGTTGAAAGAACGACCAGAATTATTTATGCAAGGGGAATCCGTGTAAGTACAGCTGTGGTGAACCCTCCTCCTGTTTCTCTGCTGATCCCCACACTTTGAGATACGTTTTCCCTGTTGCAAGAAGCAAGTTAATGACTATGAAAATACGAGATTTGCTAAAGCAGTAACGGGGGGATGTCCCATGCTACACCTCACCCTGTTTTTATGGAGTGCACCTCTGTCTTTTGCAGCCCTCACCCCAAATCTTTAAAGACTTAAAGCTTAAATGTGAAGCAGGGCCACGTGTACCTTCTCTCTGTTGTCACCTGGAGCAGCGCAGCGCACGTATCGTATCCTCAGTTACAGGAGTGTTAGCAGGTCTGTCTGTTTCCTG